ACACAGAAATCGCTTTAGTGAGTAAACTAGAACTCCTCCAACAAAGTTTGTCTAATTTGTGGTCTTTAGGAGTTGAGCTGGCTTTGCCGTCTCTTGGCCCCTCGGGGGTTCCGTGCGCTGAGGCCTGGGAGGGGACAGGGCGGTGACAAGCCGGGAGGGAGCGGCGACTCCCGTGGGCGTCGGGCCACGCCCACCGCGGAGGCGGCCGGAGCAGTTTGTCCCCTCGCAGCTCCCATATAAGGCGGGCCCCGCCCCTGCCCCGGCGGCCGGGGCGCCGCGCGGGCTCCTTGGTGGCGTCTCAAACCCGCCCGCCGCTACTGCGCATGCCCGGCCTGCCTGCGGAACCCGGCGCTTCTGGTTTCCTCGCAACCCCGTGATCAAATCCGCACCCAGCTCCGCGCCCCACAAGGGGGAAAAGCCTGGGTATTCTCTGGGCGCTAGAAACACGTGGGGGTGCTGATTCCTGGCCAGCCTCAGGGCTCTAGGGAAGCTCTTTGAGTGGGCCACATGTTTGCAGATATCATCCCACTTAATGCATTAAGTTGTTCCTGATATGCAGATAAAGCAAAAAGTTCCAAGGTGCCCAGTAATACAGACTGGACGACTCCCAGTGCTAGCCTGAAGCTGCGGCTCAAACCCAGGAGCCCAGCCTCCATTCGTTGCGGTCTCCATCAGAGCCTGGCTTGCTGGAGGGGCAGCCCCTCGGACTCGGCCATACCACCTACCTTAGAGCAGGTGCCAGCCACCTCCCGGGTGCCCTGCGGGCGTGAAATATCGGCGAGTCGGGCAAAGTATCCCTTTGTCGCCCCATTAGGAACATGCGGGCCTAGTGGATCTTGAGGACGGGGCCCTGTATTCTCTGGGCCTTCTCGTCCCCACTTGTCAATTGTGGGACCAGAGGCAGGAAGGGTGGGGTCCTAGGGCTGGAGTGGGTGGGCTAAGCGTCCCTGAATGGGGTAGCAAGAAGAAGGCAGGGCTGATTAACGTGGCCTTCAGGTAATCCAGTGGTTCACAGGTTGGGTCCTGGGTGCGTGTGAACGAATGCTCAATGCCCGAATGAACGAATGAACGAATGAATGTAGATTCTCCGGGAGAGGGGAGCGGGGGAGAGAGAGAGAGAGGAGGGAGAGGGAGGAGGGAGGAGGGAGGAGGGAGAGAGAGAGTGTGTGTGTGTGTGTGTGTCGCGCTATTTACAAAAAGAGACTGAGTCAGACCTCACTTCTACCAGAGAATGAATCCACC